GCAAGAGACCTGAGAAGCAGATAAGAGATAGTTAACCTTGTGGGCCATGCTGAGGATTTTATCACCATCCTAGAAATATTTGGAAGTCGTTGGTTGGATTTATGTAAAAGAGACAGAGTGATCAGGTTTGAGTTTCAAAAACTGGTTCCAACTGGCTGCAAATGGAAATACTCCCCTATCATGCTTCAGGGAGAAGTAGAAGGGGCCATAGATGTTATAGGTAGACTCTTACAATTAGGAAGGTTACATACAGTTCCAAAAAAAAAAAAAAAGTAATGGTAATTTTGAACTAGAATTAAGATGGTTGAGATAGAGAGAAGGGGATTGATATAAGAAATATTTTTGAGGTAAAATGACAGGAATTTGAATAAAATTGGAAATGGTAACATTGGGGGTGGGGAGAAGGAGACCACAAGTTTGCCTCAGTTTGGTGGTACATTTATGGAGATAGAGAATTATGGGGGAATTATTATGAGTTCAGTTGCAGACCTTTAAAGTTCAACCTGTTTTAAACATTCAAGGAAAGAGTCAAGTGTGCCGTTAGTTATATGGGTCTGCATGGGTCAAAGAGTAATATCGACACAGTGTTTCTAGAAATGCACAGCTTCCCAATTATGCTTTTCTTCATGTCCCTTCATAAAGAGGATGTTCTCTAGGACACTGAAATCTCCCTGAGAACATTTGTGTTTTCTTAAACAATTTTACTCTAGATTTTTCTGCTAAGATAGTAGTTAATAACACCAATCTATCATTGGCATCCTCTAGTCCTCTTCAGACTATGGACTTCTTCACCCCTTCTCTCACAGAGTGGAGAGTATTATTAACTTTGCAATTTTTAGCATGAAAATTAATTTAGTGTGATTGATTTGAAGTAAATTTGTCACTGCAAAGTTATTATGCCTATTCATAGAATCCTTAACTGTGAAGGCCTTGCAGTGCAGTTTATCTAGTACCTGAAATCACCATGACCAGAAATCACCATGACAAACTTTTCCATAATTATACATTTGCAAACATTTTTTTGTTTTATTTTGTTTCGTTTTGTTAATCCTCACCCGAGGATATTCTTTCCATTGATTTTTAGAGAGGGTAGAAGGGAGGGAAGGGCAGTAAGAGAGAAGGAAAGCGAGATAGAGAGAAACATCAATTGTTTGCATCCCACCTGTATCCCGATGGGAACTGGGGAATCTACTGGGGCAGGGATCTGGGCCAAGGATCAAACCTGCACCCCAGGTGTGTGTCCTTTCTTGATCAAGGGAACTGAACCCACAACTCATTGGTGCACAGGCCTGTGCTCTGATCACTGAGAAACAGCGGACAGGTCTGCAACCACTTTTTAAGAGAGGCATATGTAGGCTCTGTTTGTCACACATGTTAGATAGTAAATGTTGCATTACATCTTTAATTTGAAGGGAAGTAAAGAAGGAAGAAAAGGGAGGGTCAGCAGGCACCATTTTCACTGAGCAAACAATCTGTCTTGCTTTGCTGACATATATACAAGTTCTAGTCATGCTTTTTCCCCCCAAGCTAACGTGGATCCTCTCATGCAGGATGCTGATGCTTTAAATTTTAATTAATGAAGATACCTAGTTATGAGGAACAACTAGGTGAGTAGATGATAACAATGTCTGTAATGGTTCAGAAAAATTATTATAAAAGTCCATTAGCCAATGCATCACATACAAACAGGCTATGAAATGAAACTGCATGATATAGGGGTGTTTAGTGTCTTTTTAAAAAAATAAATTAGGAAAAGTAAAGGACATGTGAACAATACACACTAATCCTAGTACATAACTGACTGCTACAGAGAATAGTATCTAAAAATGACAATCTGCCTCCCTAATTTAGGATCGTTCATTCATTCCATAGCCTGCAGTTTGTGTCCAATGATTAATATCTGCTCAGGCTTTCCTATTCTTTTGAGCAGATGATTTTTTGTCATAAAACTATGCCCTGTGTTACAGTATTCTTATTTTATTTTTCTTAAAATTATATGAGTCACATTTAAAAAAAAAAACAAAAACACCGATAGATCCCTCAATAGGCAGTATTTAGGAAGAAAAAAGGAGGCAAAGGGAAAAGAGTATCCATGTGAAAGCAAACATGACCTTCTGTAGTAAATGTCACTGTTTCTCAAGTGTGACAAGAATAATATATCTTGACAGTTGAAACATGCTATTCACCTGAGGCCTGTCAATCATTCTGATTTTGAAATACTGAATTTATGAATTGTCAACACGTCTTTTAGGTGAGAACCCCGTTGTCATCAAGAGCAAAACTAAAGCAAATGTTCAAATAAATGGAAAGTCGAAATGCTGTTGGCGCATTCAATTATAAGAACATTACAGACAATCTAGAATTTATATGTGGTGATAATTGTAGCATGTGAGATATGGATGGCAAACTATAATACATGGCTATTACTGTGCTTTTCAAGTGGAATATAGTCTGGAGATCAATGGCTGGGGCTTTTCCTGTGATCCATATAAAGCAAACGATTTATCATTGGGCAACCCCCATAAATGCAACTCTAATACTGAGAGTGCTGACAGCCTCGTAGGCGATTTCAGCAGTGAAGCCAGGACTACCCATACTGAACTACATTAGAGTTGGTCCCTGGAGGACAGAATTCAGCCTCATTGGCAAGGGCACTGGAAGAGTTCCATTTGACTCCTCATTAAACCTCTCCTAGGGATTGAAACTCCTGCTCCGTGGCTACTACTGCCCCTGCTTTCTACAGGAGCGATCGTGTGAACTTCACAGGCATAGATTCATTTTCAGATATTTAGGTAGCTTTGGCTAACAAAGATAAAGCCTCTTACAGATTTAAAAAAAGGATCTTTCAGGCTCTTGATCATTAAAAACATTGTTATTTTTTCCAGAGGAAATAGCTTTATTTCAATTTGTGAGGATTCATGTTAAAGGCCTGTCTTAGGGCATGTAAAAGACTCCGCTTTTCTGCATGTAGCTGTTCTCTGAGAAGCAGCATTCCAAGGAAAATAGCCTTCTTTACCTACCAGAATTGTTGGGATAATGAAATCAGAACAAACACTTTGAAGCAATTGGTGAAGCACACATTACTACATGCACTATATGCTGCCGATGCCCATTCTTATTGATTTGCAGTCTTGAAAATAGAATACTTGGGAAGTACTGCATTGGAAATTGCTGATGATACAGCTATTCACATTCTTCTGGGAGTCTCCTAGGAAGATTCACAAGACTGTTTTTGTTTTAAGTGCAATAAAAACAAATGCAATTATTTTGTCTTGCAAGAGCTGTGTAAAATACCTTACGATAGAGAAAATTTTTTTTTGTGATTATGAAATAACTAGAGGCCTGGTGTATAAAATTTATGCACGGGGTGGGGTGGCGGAGGGGAAAGGGGGTACTGTCCCTGAGCCCAACCTGCACCCTTTCCAATCTGGGACCCCTTGAAGTCCATTTACAGGAATTGGGCTATGGGGGTGTGGCCAGCCTGGGTTAGGAGCTAAGGGCTACTTCCAGGCTGGCCACACCCCCTTCAGGGTGGCGGGGTGGGGGTCCCCACTGGAATGCCTGGCCAGCCTGGGTGAGGGGCTGATGGCTGTTTACAGGCTGGCCACACACCCCCAGTGACCCAAGCTTGCAGCCCCTCCTTTTTTTTTTTTTTCAGCGCCTCCTTGAGCAGAGGTCAGGGCCAACTGGAAGCAGGTATCTGGGATTTATTTATCTTCTATAATTGAAACTTTGTAGCCTTGAGCGGAGGCCAGGTCCAGCCAGGGTGGGCAGGATGCTTGGCTTCCTCCATCACTGGGGGCAACCCAAGCCTCCTGCTCGCTCCTACTTTATGGCTGCTGCCATCTTTGTTGGGTTTATGTGCACACTCGCTCCTGATTGGCTGGTGGGTGTAGCTGAGTGATGGTCAATTTGCATGCTTCTCTTTTATTAGTGTAGATATCTACAGTCTTTGGCCATCTAATTACAGTGGTACTTAATGGAGTATTCATAATGCAAATTAATGACGAATGCTTTACTGTTTACTGTTAATGTTTCCCCGAAGTGGTCCATATGTACATGTGTACAAAGGCATAAAAAGCTAAGCAAATTCCTAAAGAAGTGATGAAGAAAAAATAGAAAGACAACATAGCAAAATATAATCTTATAAAAATATGCAACACAGTGAAAGCTCTTTTTGCATTTACAAGATAAATGGTATCGCCAAAACCGGTTTGACTCAATGGATAGAGCGTCAGCCTGCGGACTGAAAGGTCCAGGGTTCAATTTTGGTCAAGGGCATGTACCTTGGTTGCGTGCACATCCCCAGTAGAGGATGTCCAAGAGGCAGCTGGTGGGTGATTCTCTCTCATCAGTGTTTCTAACTCTCTATCCCTCTCTCTTCCTCTCTGTTAAAAAAAAAAAAAAATCAATAACATATGTTATTTTTTAAAGATAAATGGTATCAAAGGGCGGCCCTTGAAATTTACAAGAACTCCTGATTCCAAATGGAAAATATGTATACTTGGGCTATACCCGCCCTGGTGAATGTGGGATAGAGAGTGCGAGAGTGTTTAAATGGGATAGGGAGAATGGAAGAGAGAAGGGTTGTATTCTCTCTCTCTCTCTCTCTCTCTCTCTCTCTCTCTCTCTCTCTCTCTCTCTCTCACACGCGCGCGCACACACACACACACACACACACACACACACACACATCATACACTCACTCCATCGCTAGTCACAACCACCCCTCCCTTTCAGGAGTTACTTCCGGTCCTTTATAACCACATGGGGAGGTTAAGAGGGGACTGGGATGTGGTCCCCGAGTTGGTCCAGAGGAGTCAGGAAAACCCCCCGCACAGTACTCCCAAGTCCGAGACTGTGGGAGGGATTGGGGCGGAGCCCAGCGATAAGAGGCAGCAGCGGGCGGACCCCGGTGGGTGGGAGGGCTGGGAGGCTGCAGCCACTTTATGAATCCGCAGCCCAGAGAATATCGCTGCTGCCTGAGAGCTTGCCGGTCCCCACCCCTCTCTCGCCCCGCGGACCCGCGCCTCAGCTGGCAGCAGCGCCTCGCCCACTCCTCCCGCCCTCCCCATCCCTAGCTGCTCAAGAACGGCAGCGCCCGGCACGTTCCCGGAGGACCCCGGGGGCCGTACGGGAAGGAGAGCCGAGGCAGGGAGACCGGAACGGTAGCAGCATGCGTCCTCCGGGAGCTGCCTCGGCGCCCAGGGTCTGAGCTGCAGCCCCAGTTCTCCATCCATTGTGAGCCGCCGCCGGGGCCCCGCTGCACCACCGTCCCTCTGGGTCCGCGGCCGCGCCACGATGGGGCACCTGCCCGCGAGCACCCGCTGCGGCCGCCGCCTCCTGCCTCTGCTCGGGCTCTTTGTGCTGCTCAAGGTAGGAGCCCGGCGCCCCGCCCGCCCCGCGGTCCCGCCGGCGTCCGGCTCTGCCTCCCGGGGACCCGGCGCCCCGGGACGCGATGGCCCCGCGGCGGGGAGCGCGCTTTGTGGTCCGGGCGGGTGCATGCTCTCCGCGCTCTTGGGGGACGGGGTGGGAGAATGGGGAAGTTTGTTCCCTCCAGCCTCCACCCTCTGTGCCCTTTTACCATCCGCTGCTAGCCACATCAGAGGTGGGCTTGTGGGATGATGCTTCCTCCTCCGGCAAAAGGAGGCCACTTTCCCTTTTTCTGGCCGCGTCGCGCTGCCCCCCACCCCCCTCCCCAAGGCTGCCCAGCCTCCCCGCCTCCCCCAGCGGAGGGAGAGCCTGCTTTGTCTTCATGTACCTTTTACCGGGATTATTCTGGGGGCGGGCGCTGAGCTCCCTGGATGCCCTAGGGCTGCTGGGGGTGGATGGGTCGTGAGGATGGTTTTCTTTGGGAAAAGGAGTGTCAGCTTGAGCCCAAAAGAAAACCCTTTACAAAGTCTCCGGACTTTCCCCGTTGGGTTTACTGAGAAGGATACCTCTACATCCCAATGGCAGAAAAATCGGTGTAATTTACTTTTTCATGTCTTCTTTGGAATATCCTACTCCAGGGTTTTACTTTGAGGCACAGGAGAGGGCTGCTTTCAAAAAATAAATAAATAAATGAATGAATGAATAAATAAATAAATAAATAAATAAATTAATTAATTAATAAAAATCTATTTTGACAACTATACTGTTCATAAGAATGTAGCCATGTTAGCTAGACGTTTTCTTGGAAAGTGGTGTGAAGTTACGAGGTAATTATCTACCACTTGTGTCTTCTGTGGGTTTACTTCAGTGCTGTCCTGAGTCCTTCTTCCAGTCCATTCTCCTCCCCAAAGCAAACTGTGTGCTGGTCCCGGGGAGCTATTCTTTCAGCACCACAGGCTGCCTTCCTCACAAATGGACGAGACATTGATGGATGCCAATGTTTCCTTATCAAAGAGTCACTTCTTGCTGGCATGCGCCATTGAGTATGAATGCTTGACAAGGAGACTGCGGCGCCGGACCAATGGATTGAAAACAGTGCCACTTCTAAACATTCCACATTTTCATTTATCTAAATGGAAAAATAGTTTCAGGGAGAAACAGCAATGGAGTGCGTAGAGGAGATTCTAAGTTATATCTACTATGGTTTTACATTTTTCTTACGTTTAAATAATCATGTTACTTAGAATCTGGCTAATAATAAGCTCACTAATACGGTTTCACTCCAGGGGAAACTCTGTGAGCACACACCACAATGCATTAGAGCTCAGTTTCCTATTAATTTTTCTACCTGTCAAGTGCTGTCATGACTCCTCGTATATGCAACACTTGTCATGCATCCAAAGTGAGAAATGGAGTCACCACACATTTTACTAAGTAACGGCTGAGGCTGACATGCATGACACCTGGTCCAAATCCAACCTTTGGCCCAGCTGCAGGTTTTATTATTTGAATTCTTTGTAATGGGGCAGAACTCCAGAAATGGGAGAGGGCATAGAGTGCTGCAATTAAAGTGTAAAATATGTGGCAAAAGTTCCCATAAAAACTTGATATTGGAGTGAGAAAATGGTCAATGATGATATAATGGCACTCTCAGTGACCATGATAGAAGTTTGCCTTGTTCCTTCCACATAGTAGCTGTACTTCTGCACATTTGCAGATTGATGGCAGTTATGGTAAACTTCATCACATAGTAAATACACTGATAGAGCTTGTCATTTAAGTAAATGTTGTAATGGGACAAACAATTTTGTAAAGCTTTGCTCTTTATTTTATACTAGAAGCCCAGTGCACGAAATTCGTACGCGTGTACGGTATCTAGGCCTGGCCGGTGATCAGGTTCCCTGCATCCTTGCCATCCCACCTCCTCCTTCCCTCGTCCCCTCAGTGCCACACTGCTGCCACTGGTCACCCACCATGTTCTGCACCGCCCCCTGGTGGTCAGCACAAATCATAGTGAATGACTGAACTCCCAGTCCCCCAGTTGAACTCCCGAGGGGACACTTTGCATATTAGCCTTTTATATATTATAGATAAATGCAGTGCTTTACGTCACTTAAATACAAAGTACACCAGAAGAATGATACCTCTGTGCCACTCAGTTTGATATATACTGAATACACACGATATGCCAGACAGCTTTCCAGGCATTTCACACTTGCTATTTCATTTAATCCAGTTTTGTTATATTTGACAAGAAATGTTCAAAGTGGCAAGTTGGGCACCTAGGATTATGCATTTACATCTGTAATAATATATTACATGGTAAATTGGGTACATAGTATAATTTCTTTATAATTTGGAGAAACTTTAGCATCTAAGATCCTAAATACATGTCAGTAAAATAAGTTTAATATGCTGGTGGTGACAGGAACATGATGTAAAATGCGATTATTAAATACCATGTTGTCAATTAAATCTCAATGATAAGGTCTATAAAGGTCTATGTGTGGTAAGAGACAAACCATTCATCCACCCCCACCCAAATCTCTGTAGGTCTCAATAAGTCTTTCACTACTCTATTTGAAGTATCCTCATATGAAAATGAAAATCTCTAAAAACCACAGAGAAACTCAAGTATGAATCTTGATTTCTAGTTTATCTTTTTCACAAATTAAGTGGTAGGACAGTCTGAATATTTGAATCAGCTATAACCAGTTTCACTGAGGTAGTCCAAGCGTGCCTGGCCGTCATGTCTTTGTTCATTATTCCTTATCCATGGTTTAGTGATGTACACATTTAATCAGACATCTCATATTGTCTTAACCACCCACTGTATATTATAAGGCGAATATCTGCATAATCGGTGTTACATAAGCACAATGTTGTTTATAAAAATTTTAAATATATGTCAATATTGATGGTATATATAAAAATAAAAAGCAAAAGGCTTTGTTTATCAAATATACTGGGAGCCTACCAATTTCAAAATCTTCTACCCATATATGAATGCAAATGGAATGTTTATCTGCTGAGTCTCCCTCTTATGCATCTTCCCATTATTCCCCTTGAAGACAATGTAACTTCTGTCATCTATCATATCTTTACCAAACCTCTCCCTGACAATTGTTTCCTGTATCAGTTCACTCTATATCAAGATTTTTGTCAAGTAAGATGCAAATGGTAGACTATGACATCATACGAATGTAAATTCTGCCTTCCCTGAAATGATGCTTATTAGTAGTCAACTGGAATGGTTCCCTAAACTCATGGGCTTGGCATGAATCCTTCTTTCTTAAACTCCTTTCTGTATTTATTTCCATTTCTGCTCTTACCTGACTTTTAGCCAAAGAATGTCAAATTTGAAAAGAAGGCCTTAATTATATTCTCTGAAAGAGGTTTATGTTTGGTGTTATGATGCTGGCCATAGTACTTCTATTCAGGATAAATATCCACTTCCCAAGGTCTGTCTGCCTTTTTTCACTTCCATATGACCTCCTGTCTTCTTTTCTTTTTCTCCCTTACACAACTTTATCTCTCTCTCTCTCTCTCTCTCTCTCTCTCTCTCTCTCTCTCTCTCTCTCTCTCTCTCTCTCTCTCTCTCTCTCTCTCACACACACACACACACACACACACTCACACACACACTTCCACATTTCTTATTGAAGGTTCATCTGCATTCTATATGATACAATACTAGAGGCCTGGTGCATAAAATTTGTGCACTGAGAGAGGTTTCCTCACCCTGGCCTGTACCCTCTCACAGTCCGAGATCTCTTGGGGGATGTCTGCCTGCTGGCTTAATCAGACATCTCATATTGTCTTAACCACCCACTGTATATTATAAGGTGAATATCTGCATAACCGATGTTACATAAGCACAATGTTGTTTATAAAAAATTTAAATATACGTCAATATTGATGGCATATATAAAAATAAAGGCCTAAGCCAGCAGTTGGACATCTCTCTTGCAGTCAGGGACCCCTTGACCCTTACCACCCACTTGCTTGCTGCTTCTTACGACTGGGCTTGCTGTTCCTTAGTGCTGCCATGGAGGTGGAAGAGGTTCCTGTCACTGCTGCTGCACTTGCCAGCTGTGAGCCCAGCTTCTGGTTGAGAATCTGCTCCCTGGTGGTCAGTGTGTGTCATAGAGACCAGTCATTCTGGTTGTTCCAATGTAATGGTTACTTAGGCTTTTATTTTATATAAATTGGCAGATGAACTATAATCTTTTCATCTTTCCAGAGCAGTCTAGACCATCCTCATAGGAATAAAGTTTGCTCCTCTGTCACTGATTCCTTTGATAAATGTTGCTACCAACCTTTTAGAGAAACCCTCTACATGTGACATCCCCAATAAGTTGGAAAAGATTCATTGGGCTGGGCTTCCATAAGGGATTGGTGGTAATAGTTTTCACTGTGACATCCATTTGCTTTTGTTCTTTGTTGTGTGAAAGATTATTGTTTTATGAAAGAATAGAACAGTCATTCTATATCTCATCCTCATTTTGGTCCATAAAAATATACATCTGTATACACATAGGTAATTAAAAGCAATATATGAATTGTACTTATTTTAAATGTAGCACTATAACTAGCATCTAAATATACAACAAGTTATTTAAACTTATAAGCACATTGACTCCTGAGTATTATAAATACAATTTGAACTTGAGTCTTAAGAGTGTGCCAAGGATTTTTGGTGTTAAATACAGTTGTTGTATCTAAACCATTGTGATTGACAGCTGTGTGCCAACTTAGCAGCAACTTAACAGCAATGACCACATACCAGTATATTTAGTTTTCATTTTCTTCCTCAGTTAATACCTTTAGGTACATACTTCCAATTGTGTTGCATTTTCAGAAGCATAGTCCCAATTCAACAATGAGCTTCACTGGAAAGCACTTAGTGTATTCATTTAACTACTCCAAATATGTTGTGAAATTTTTGAATAAAGAAATTTCCTTTGTAAGTTTTTGTATTGCGCTGTACTTAGTATGTGATA